TCAGCTCCTGGCCCTGCCTTGGCGTGTGGCCATCGCCGTGTCCTCCCAGCAGCAGCACTCGCAGGAGAGCTGTGGTGCTGAATTAATGTCTGCAGGACTCCTCCAGCTCCCTGGTGTTACCCTCCCAGGGAGCTGGGAAGGCTGTGGCAGGTGCCAGGTGCAGCCAGGTCTCAGGCAGACGTGGTGCCAGCCGAGGAGAATCGGCTCTGGTTAATGCACAGACCCCATCGGAGAGCGACACTGCTGCAAACACTGTCTGTGCTGCAAAACAGCCTCTCAGTCCTGGCTCTCTGATGTTCCCAGTGGTGCAGCCCCACTCCAGGGCCCACCAGCAGATCCTGCAGCACTTCGGCGCCGAGATCCTCCTGGAGAACGGCGAGATAAATCGTGAGGCTCTCGGAAACATCATCTTCTCCCAGCCCGAGAAGCGGCGGCTGCTCAACTCCATCACCCACCCGGAGATCCTGAAGGAGATGCTGAAGCAGATCCTGAAGTACTTTGTGCTAGGTAAGGGGCTGTGTCCCAGCCCACGGCACTCCTGCTCGGGCAGGAGCTGTCCCTGCTGGCTCTGCCTTTGGTTTGAGTGGGGAGAGGGACGGGGAGAGCAGACGTTGACTGACAGCCTTTGTGCTCTGCCTCCGGTGGCCTTTGCCGTTGGCTTTTGGAGGATTCATTCCCGATTCACTCCTGCCTTTCACTGCTGCCCTTCACTGCCTCCTCTGTGGTTTAAAGTATGTCTGTAGGGCCTGGGAGCAGCTTTGTGAGGCCTCTGCCCAGATTACTCGCCGGATAATGTCACACCTCCCGAAACGGCCAAATATCCTTCCCTGCCCCCAGCCTGCTCCAGCCTCAGTGCAAACTGCAGAGCCCTTTGAGTCTTGATAAGGTGAGGAATGGGCTGACAGCTGTGGGTTCCGAAGTCCTGCGTTCCCCCTGATAAATGGAACAAATACAGCTGTCAGGCCTGGGCTGGGGAAATGCCAGATAAGATCACCAGCTGTTCCCGAGGTCTCCGTGTAGACAGAAGGATGCCTTAATAGAGTCGGTCTGGTTTCGTGGTGCTTATCAGAGCTGAGCCCCGGGAGAGCTGAACAGGCTTGTGCTGGGGTGCCACGGGGCCAAGCTGTGCTGTAGGGAGAGGAGGAGGAGGAGGCACAAAGGAAGCAACAGGCAGGAGAGCCTGGAGCCAGAGATGGAGTCCTGAACCCAGGGCTGTGGGCTCAGGATGCTGTCCTGGCCCTCGGCGCTGCGTGGCTTCAGCAGGCTGCTTTGTCCTCATTAGTCAGGATTTAATGATTTGGGATAGCTGGATGTGGTCTCTGAGGATCGCTGCGTAAGGCAGCTCGGATCGATCGGACCAGAGGGCAGCAGGAAG